AGCGTGATGCCATGGCACTCTACCCAGGGGGATAGCTTGAGGCTCCGTCTCAAAAAAAAAAAAAAAAAAAAAGAGTCACTTCATGCCTAGACACCTCCACAAGAGAGGTTCCGGGGAAAAATTTCTGACCACCATGAGCCCTGTTATCAGCAGATCCTTTTGTTTTGTGTGCTCACGTGTGTGCACAAGGAACACATACAGGAAAGTCTAGCAAGCAGAGTCCAGGTCAGGACCAGCACACACAGTTGGGAGTTTTGTGCTCTGCATGCAGGGACCTAGAGGGGTTCCCCAAGACTAGGTGGTATGCCCAGGGGCGAGGCCTTTCACTTTGCCCAGCGGGTCCCCTTTTCCTAATTTTTACAAAGGTACCTTATGACTTGAAAGCCAAGGACAAAGGGGGAAACCCCTTGGGTCTCACAAACATCAGTAAACACTCGTCACTTTCATGCGCGCAACATACAAAGGCTCACCAATGCATAAGCTGGTCTCCTGTCCAGCTGAGCACCTGCCACATGGGGGACTGGAGCCAAGAGGGACTGACAGCAGGAGACTGGCTAGAAAGCTATTTTGAGGTTCCAGGGGAGAACTGAGTAGGGCAAGAAAATGTTGATTAGGAAAGAGAGGGAAAAGTGAACTTGAGAATCAGTCTGGAGATGTAACAACTCAATGCTGGGATGTAGGTGACAATCAGGAAAATGAGTGCAGTCAGGATTAGGAAGTCATAGTGCCTCCTAGCAGACTAATAGGGTCTGGGATCGCAGGAGCTAGAGGGCACCAGAGGGGAAGAAGCAGGGTGGGTAGAGACTTGCTCCCATCAGAGGTTTGGCCATGGAGAAAGAGAGAAGGTTGGGTGGCCAGAGGGAGTTGTTCAGGCCTGTGCATTTCACTAAGATGGTGACATTTATGGTCTGCTAAAGTTGAGAAGAGAGAAGCAGAAATGGTGTGGTCCCAAGGGCCTGGGAGCCAGAGAGAAAGGAGCAGCCTCAGGAGGGACAAGGGTGGGCCGTGCCCAGCACCTGGAGGGTGGAGTTAGTATGGGCACAGAAGCAGACACCTATAGGTGTGGCCAAGAAGCTGAGCAGGCGCATGCCCCATGTCTTCAATTTCTCTGAGGCTAGAGGCTGAGGCCTATAAGGCAGTGGGGGAGGAATAGCCACTGTAGAGAATGGGGGAGGACACTAGTCAGAGACAAGGAAGAGGATCTGTGACCAGCACTGACCCCTCAGCTGGGCCTGGAGGTCAGCAGAGACAGTAGCAGGTCTGTGGGCGATGCTATCTCCTTTCTGCAAGTGTCCTGACTGGGGGCGTGCAGGCTTCCCCACACCCTCTGGCCCCCAGACTCACCCACGACGGTGAGGTTGACCTGGGCTTGCCTGCTGCCCAGCTTGTTCTCCACCAGCAGGGTGTAGCAGCCACAGTGCTCCTGGCGTGCGGCAAGGATGGTGAGCTTGCTGCCGTTCTCATTGCTCTCCACCTTGATGTGCTCACTCTCCTGGATCTGGGGGGGGCAAGGGAGGGTGAAGCAGGTGCTGGAGCATGGGCCAGGACAGGAGGGTACCTTCCCCACTGCCTGCTCCCTCAAGAGGCAGCTGGACAAGCTGTGGGGCCTCAGTCTGATCTGGACTCTACACTTTCCTGCATGCAGAACCAGGCCGCCCTGAGGGTGCTGGGCAGGGACAGGGCACGGGAACCATCCCAGCACTTGCTGTCCCCAGCGTGCAGCTCAGGCGCGCCCCAGCCTCCCCCCACTGCTCTGGGATGAGATGGTTGAATGTGTCTAAAAAGGCTCAATCACAGGCGACCCCAGCAGGTTCTAACCTCTTTCATGCTGTCCAAGGCAGTAGCCACTAGCCACATGTGGCCACTTAATTAGTTAAGTGGAAACAACCCAGTGTCCTTCAGCCGATGAACAGATAAACAGAATGTTGTCTATTCAGACAATGAAATATTGTTCATCCATAAAAGGGATGAATTACTGATTCATGCTCTAACATGGATGAGCCCTGAAAACATGTAAAATTCAAAGAAAAAGCTATACATAAAAGATGAAATACTGTATGATTCTGTTTATACAAAATGTCTAAAACAGGCAAATCTATGGAGACACGAAGTAGGTAAGTGGTTTTCAGGGGCTGGGGAAGGGGAGGAATGACTGCTAATGGGTCTGGGGTTCCTCACTGGGGTGATAAAAATATCACTGGGGTGATAAAAAAATCTAGAATTAGATAATGGCGATGATGCTTACACAAACTTGCGAAGATACTAAAAACCACTGACTTGTACACTTTAAAAGGGTGTGTTTGATGATATATGAATTATATATCAACAGGGCTGTTATAACAATTTTAATTAATTAAAATTAAAAATTTAGGTCCTAAATTACACTAGGTACCTTTTCAGTGTTCAGTAGCCACATAGGACCAGTGGCTACCACACTGGACAGCACAGATAACGAACATTTCCATCACCGTAGAAGGTTCTGATGGACAGTGCTAGAACTTGGCTGAATATCCCTGACAAGTGATGAAATTCTATCTTATTTCAGGTAAAGTAGCCTCGACATAGCTCAGGGCAAGTGTTCTTTGGGGTGCTAAAGGCCAATTTCTCATCTCCCTCTTTTGAGACCAACCCCACTTTCCTCCCTGATAAGTATTCAGCTGCTTGTCTCTGGGCCTAGGAGAATTCGAATGGTTTGGAAACAGAGCACTAGAGGGCCCAGAATAAACCTTCACCCCTTCTATCAAGTTCCTGTGCCTGTGCCAGCCCCAGCCCAGGTCTCTGCTGATTCTGCACACAGGACACCCTGCCAACATAAATCGGTGGGTTGGTCGGGCTCCACAAGTTCCTTCCTAGACTACTTGTTTAGAAATTCAAACATTTCCCCATAGGAGCCATCATTATAGGTTATAGCTATATTTCTGGGGCAGTAAGTCAAAATTCGATGTACTGTATAATTTATCTATCCAAACATTCAGATTCACTTTTCTCCCTTTGGTATGTGGTAAGTTTAAGCTGGTGTCCAACAGGAACCAGTGGGCTGGCACATAGTCATAGAAAGCTCATGGAATCTAGGAGGCCACCTTAGGTCACTGGTTCGATTTTTCTGATTCTGAGCAGGATTCAAGACTATGATGGCAGTATCAGATGGGGGCCAAGGATGGTTCCTATTTTTCCTTCACATATTTCTCTACTACATAAATGCTCCATAAAGCCAGGGATTATCGGTAGTCAGAAGAAAAGGTTAGTGCGAACTCAGGCTTGGCGGTAGGCGATGGGTGGGTGAGGGTCTCTCCCACCTCCCATTATAGTATCCCTCACTCCTTTTGGCCCAGGGGCTGTAGGGCAACCCCCTCTGTTACTAACCTGCTTTCGGAACTTCATCCAGGTGCAGGTGATGGGCTGGGTGCCCGCCACTTTACCAAACAGCTCCACGGATTCTCCTGCACGCACCTTTTGGTCCTCAGGAAACTGGATGATCTGAGGAGGCATTGCTGAGAGGATGGGATAGAAAGTGGGTGAGAAGGAGCCGCAGACATTCTGATCTCACTGGGTGCCACTGTCCACAGTGGTGTCTTGGCTCCTGTCTCAGCTTGCAGACTCCTTAGGGGACAATTAGGGGCACTGACCCTGGCTCACACACCAATAGGTTTGTGATTGCCCTGGAAGGAACCTGCACAATTTACATGGCAGCATGCTCTATTTACTAATTATGCTGGAATTTGTGTCTTACCCTAATTTTTTGAATCAACGCCCTAACTCATTTATTCATAAAGTAGCACCTTGACTTCTAAACTCCAGGTCACCCTGGCTGACAGGCTCAATGTCACATCCTCAAGTGTCTTTCTATAGGAAATGGACAAGGATGTGTCCTTCATACAACAAGGATGCACAGAGCAAGGCACAAAGACAGTACACAGACGGGGCAGCCCTGCACAGGGGGAGGACAGCTCCAAGCCCTGGGGGCTGCTGTCCACACAGGGGAAGCAGAGAAAACAAAGCGGGATGGTGGTGGGCAGGCTGGGCTGTACAGAGGCTTGCTCACAGAACAAATTCAGCCTGAATAATACAGAGCGTGAACTGGGGGTCTTTGGGGTGTCTTCTGGGATCACATACCAAAGTGGTCAGTATAGCACTCTTTCTATGATAAAGAAAAAAATCCCTTATATAGATAAGTCCTTGGTCCTAAGATACTGCTGCAGCCAATTACCTGCCTTCGGCGGTGTCTTGGGGGTAGGTTTCTTTTTCACAGTTGCATCACCTGAAACAAAGAATTTTACAAGTTATTTTCCATAGTTTTCCCCACAAAGCTCCTGATCCGAGAAGGACAGGAGGATGCAATCTTGTCCACTGGCCCCTCATCTAGGGAGAGCCCTTACTGGAATATGTCTTTCTAGCAATCTTGCCTCTCATGCAGACAACCTCACAAGAGAATGAGCATCAGTTTTCTGGGGTATCTGGAAGGGTCTCCGGAGCCTCAATGAGATAAAACTATCAAATACGCTTTAGTTCCCGTAGTCCTATTCAAAGATGATAACTCCAAACTCACTAACGACTTTCTCACTATAACTTTCAGGAAACTCGGAAAGGAAATTATGTCAGATAAACCAACTAAAATTAGCCTTTGGTGTGGATCCAGGGGTCTCAGGCTTCCTTTAGGTCACAGACTGTGGCCTGGCAGCTTTCATTTTTTTAAAATGTTTTTTTGAATGGATGAATGAATGAATGAATGAATGCTCTCCTCCCTTCCTACCCCCACTTCCTCCAATAACTCAAATAAGAAAAATGAGTCAAACAGAAAAGTTTTGCAACACAATTCTATTCCCTTGCCTAAATAATACTATGGTACGTTCCGCTCCAACAACAATCTTTTTTTTTTTCATTTTCTCAGTTATTGTTTTAAAACGTTCACATTCTACTCTTAGAAAGATTCACTTGTACCCCTGTAAGATAAACCTCAGAAGTGATCCCTCCAATCCCCATCCAACAACAATCTTCATGGCTTGCTTTCATTTCTTTCAGGGTTTTGCTCAGAAGTTATTTAACTTATTCATCCAAGTGAAAGGAAAACCTACGCGTACCCAAATACCTGTATGCAAATGTTCATAGGGGCTTTATTTACAATTGCCCCAAACAAGAAGGTATGCAAATATCCCTCTGCTGGCAAATGGAAGAACTGTGTGGTCTGCCTACAAGATCAAAAAGGAAAAAGCCCAACCAAGAGCAAGACCCTGTTGCTACAAAAATAGAAAATTTAGCTGAATGTGGAGGCACCTGTAGTCTCAGCTACTTGGGAGATCGAGGCAGGAAGATCACTCAAGCCCATAACTTAGAGATTGCTGTGAACTGTAATGATGCCCCTGCACTCTACCTGGGTGACAGAGTGAGATCTTGTCGCAATAAAAAAAAAAAAATCCAGATAAATAAAAAGGAACAAACTACTGATACATACAACATGGATGAATCACAGTGATTTTCTTTTCTGCTCAGAGAAGTCAGGCTCAAAAGACTATGTGGTGTATTATCTATTTATAAACATTCTAGAACAGGCAAAACTGTGGAGATGGAGTCCAGATTAATGGTCACCAGAGATGGGTGGGGAGCAGGTGACTGTGAAGGGGAACAGAAACATTTTGACGTGATGGGACCCTATCCTAATTGCAGTTGAGTCACATTATTTTATGAGTTTGCCAAGACTCACAGACCTGCATACCAAAAAGGGTGAAGCTTACTGCAGGGAGGTTATACTTAATACAAAAAATGGGAAAGAGCCACTGCACCATTGAGATGGTCCCTATGCACCCTATCCAACAGCGGCCCTAGCACCCCTTATCATCCCTACCTAGCACTGTTATCCCCTGTGGCACTGGTCACCATGTGACAGACTGTGGATTTACTTCTTTATTTCCTCTTTACTCTTCTCCCTGTAACTGTAAGCCCTTTGAGGGCAGGACCTCTTTTTTGGTTCCCTGCAGTATAGCTAATGTGGCGGGCACACAGCTGGCACTCGGTAACTATTTGTTGAATGAATGAGTGGGTTAATAATAACAGTTATCCATCCACATAGCTTCATCACCACAGATTATAGAGAAGTGGGGCCATGTCCTAGTTTGGATGTGGAGGTGCTCAGAGACACAGGTGGGACAGCTAAGTTACTGGATTATCAGTTGTGCATTTCTACACTGGGAAGATGCTGTTACCCAGCTGCACAGCCCCAGAGGACTGTTGTAGGAGGTGACCCCTGACAGAAGCATCCTGAGATCACAGAGTTGATGACCACCGGCTGCGCAGTTCATTAAGCCCATGGTGAGGCTGGCTTCTACCAAGTTCATTTTGGCTCATTGCCATTATTGATTTATCCATTTATCTCTAAAAGTTTACTGAGGGCCTACTATGTGCCAGGCAAATGCCAGTCAGTACGCATTGCTGATCAGAAACCGAGGACAAAGCCATACAAATGGAAGGGCTTGAGGCCTGAAAGGTCAAGACGGGTGGTCCACAAGAAAGGTTAGTTTTCTTTTGCCTTAAAAAACATTTATAGGATAACTGGTAACATTTGAATGAGGTCAATACATTAGATGATAGTATTATATCAGTGTTAATTTTTTATTTTAATCATCAAACTGTGGCTTTATGAGAGATTGTCTTTGAAGGAAATCCACTCCGAAGCATTCAGGTAGAGAGGGTGTTGTGTGTGCAACTTGCCTTCAAACTGCTCAAAAAACAGCCGGGTACAGTGGCTCACATCTGTAATCTTAGTACTCTGGGAGCCTGAGGTGGGTGATTGCTTGAGCTCACAAGTTCAAGACCAGCCTGAGCAAGAGCAAGACCCTGTCTCTACTAAAAATAGAAAAACTGAGATGAGAGGATTGCTTGAGCCCAAGAGTAGGAGATTGTTGTGAGCTATGATGATGCCAGGGTACTCTACCCAGGGTGACAGGTTGAGACTCTGTCTCAAACAAACAAACAAACAAACAACAACAACAACAACAAAAAATGCTCCATAAACATACGGGTAGAGTGCTGTGGCATCATCATAGCTCACAGCAATCTCAAACTCTTAGGTTCAGGTAACCCTCTTGCCTCAGCCTCCCAGTAGCTAAGACTACAGGTGCCCACCACAACACCTGTGTACTATTTTTTTAATTTTTAGTAGAGATGGGGTCTCATTCTTGCTCAGGCTGGTCTCCAACTCCTGAGCTCAAGCAATCTACCTGCCTACGCCTCCCAGAGTGCTAGGATTACTGGCATGAGCTACCTCACCTGGCCACTCTCTCCAACTCTTGAGGGACATGTCCAATTAGAAGGCCACTCTGCCATACCTCAGAAGGCACTGATCAAGATTTATGCAAAACAAAAGACACAATGAGAGATAGAGGAAAAATGAAAAGAATTTAGGGGGCTAAACAAGAGGGAGGTGCAGAGATTACCCACGAATGTCTTGCTTAGCTATGTGGGGAAAATCATACTGAAGGAACATGAAATTTAGGAGTGAAACATGAGTAGTTTGGTTTTGTCAAGTAAATTTGGTAGATGAAAAATCCTGAATCTGTCTGTTGGCTAGAAGCTCAGGATTAGAATTGTAGAGAGAGACTGGTGGAGACAAGAAGTAACAGATCCAGAAAGATATAACATGCATTATAATGGAATGGTGGGGACGGGTCAGTCCTTTGGGGAAAGAGAATGCGATGACAGATGGGAAGGGGCAGGGCCCTCAGGGAGGAGCCAGGGTGAAGGAGAGGGCTGTGGAGGGACCCAGAGTAGGAGGAATGTCCCTGCAGCAAGGGATGGGGGGATGGATGCTGGGAAGGGCTCCAGGTATGACCAGCAAGGAGTGATGGTGACACTGGAAAGACTCAGTGGACGTGTGGTCCAAAGTCACTCCTGAGGAGCTTCTCAAGGAAATGGGGGAGTCAATTAGTCCATCAGAATTCTGAGGTGAAGGACAAAGAGAAACAGGGTGACAGAGGAAATGCCAAGCTGAGGTCTCTGCCAAGATGAGAGAGAAGAGAGAAGACAGGTTAGAAGGCTAGGACTCAGGGAAGAGGGAGAGCCCAGCGACGCTGGTGGGGACAGCAGGGGAAGCCAAGTCACTGTCGGGGAGACCAGCTGGGGTCCGGGGCACCTGTGCCTGGCTAAGCCACAAAGGTCCTGCCCCCTTCTTTTATGACTGCTGGGGAGAGGGAGGCTCTCAGCTGAGAGCAGAGCACCTCTGCCAGAGCCAGGACCCACTTGCCTCTGTGGAGAGAAGGCCATCTGTTCAGTGGAGCTGCGTGGATGGCAGGTGTTAAGGGCTGAACTGTGTCCCCCCAGATTTGCATGTTGAAACCTAACTCCCAGGACCTCAGAATGGGACTCTATTTAGAGATAAGGCCTTAGAAGAGGGGATTAAGTTAAAATGAGGCCATTAGGGTAGGTCCTAATCCTATCTGTCTATCATCCTTAAAGAAGAGATTAGGATAGAGAGAGACACAAGAAACAGAGACAGAGACAGACACCAACATACGCCTGCACAGAGGGAAGACCCTGAGGGGAATAGGGAAATGTAGCCATTTATAAGTCCAGAAGAGAGGCCTCAGAAACCTTGATCTTGGACTTCCAGCATCCAGAACTATGAAAAAATACAATTCTGTTGCTTAAACCCCCCAGTCTGTGGCACTTTGCATGGCAGTGCTAGCAATCTCACACAGCTGTGGATCAGACAGTGGGGTGGCAGCAGTGGGGGAGGGAGGAGGTTGACAGTGCCTAGAGTGGTGAACTGGGGGCTAAAGAGTTAAGGGCAGCATCATAGTGTGAAACCAAGGGACCCCAAAGTCCTGTGCTGTGCTTGGATCTCTGGGTAAAACTATGTGGTTAGAATAGAGCCCTAACCAGTATCTATCTTTCAATGTTACAGCTAAATGGGACTGAAGGCCGCGTTTTTATGTTTGTTCTATAAAATTGGAACTACTGCTGTTTGAATTGGTTAGCATTTAAAGCTGGTTTGGTTCCTATCAGCAAAAAAAATTTTAAATGTTAACAATGTTCTGTATCTTATTCTATATATATTTTATAGGACCATCTGCTGAAATCCATTAATTGTTTTCTTTGCTTACAAGAGACAGCAGTCACCTGTTTCTAAAACTGGCTTTCCAAGAAGGAATTTCTAACTTATCCCAACCAAACTAGCAGGGCATCTCATGATGTTTCCATTTCATGAAAAAGGAGATGGAATCCCATAAAAAATCAGGTGACTTGCTGGGTTCACATAAAACCAGATGT